CCCCAGCCAGCTTTGCTGGCTGGGGAATTCTGGGAGTTGAAGTCCTCCAGGCTTAACGTTACCAAGGTTGGACACCCCTGGTTTAGAGGGAGTTTCTGTTCCAAGCCTGCAATGTGCTTTCCTCCAGCATATTTCCATTGTTGAACACTAATCATCCAATCATGCAAAGGCAAAGCTATATGTAACTCTCTGCCATTTTGCATACAGAACCCATAAATTTAGCATCTGTTCAGTCTTTACATTTACTGCACAGCACATCAAGAACATCAAGCCCTTTTCCATTCATCTTACACTAAAAATATATGCCCATCAGCCTAAAATTAGATGTCAAATATACTGAAATGAAATCTAGTATGTATTTGATTTTTTGCACCATAAAATCAAGTCACACGGAGATTTCAGGTTGCATTATCCTTAATAATCATTACACGCTTAGTTATTTTGTCTAGAAGAGATTAATGACATTTGAAGACCAATAGAATGAAGGCAATCCAATTAGACAAAAAGCCAAACTCCTCTCCAAGGACTCTCACTTTAGTCCTAAATGCTATTATCAAAGTGATTTAGCAATTCTGCTAAAAGGAAAAGGGATGGAATTGTCACTACATAGTGCCATTTCCCAATGATTAAGTGCTCGCATATTCACTGCAGCACACTCATGAATGGAGCATCTTTGATTTAAAATCTGCCTGACATTGTTCCAAATCATCTCATGAAAATGATACTGTAAAAAGCTAGCCCCTGCAGCCTCAAGGGTTATATTTTATCACCTCTGTAAAGGCAATGTGATTTCATACATTCAGAACTGAAAGCTAACGAGAAAACACAAAGACAGTAAAAGAAAGAAGAGAACTGTATCTTTGCAAAATGTGTAATTATTATTGGGGGATGGTTATTCCTTCACTGTGTCTGAGTCCATTTATTTTCATTCATTAAGATTATTCAATTTTATTCTGTGCAATCAAGTGTCTGTTTTTGCAATTGCAAAAATCTCCATAATTTAGTTTAACCATACTCCACATCATACAAACCCTTAATATGAACAGAGGCTAAGGTACAAAAGATGTCCTAAGTGGCACCTGTGAACATTTGATTTGGAACACCTGTTTTTAGCAGATAGTAAAGGTTTCTAGATACGTCAGGTGACCAGCATTTTAAGTAGGGTTGTTTTTCTACCAGAAGCATAAGGTACACATCTATAGACATTCTGTTTATAACTCTCTGGCCTTTTACTCCTCTTTTCAATCTTACTACTCAGTATCCAGTACCTACTCACCTGTGCCAGCGCTGGACTTTCCTGCTCGGGCGACACCTCCCTGGTTGTTCAGATCTCCCCGTCAGTTCACTTTGGTGAAGAGCAATCCACCACTGGAGAAGGAGGAGCCTCCTGTCCCAGACGCTGAACTCAGCATGGCGCACCTCTGGGTTAAAGGCAGCTCCCTCCTCTCCAGAGGGCAGAGTCTTCAAGTCCCTGTTTGGGCACCAATTATGAGATTACAAATTCTCAGTTTTGAATCAACAGGAGACATCTTGA